ACCATGTAGTCGATATGCGGTAAAGGGTAACTGTCCTTAGGACAAGCTTTATTTAAGTCGGTAAAATCAATGCAGAGTCGCCATGCACCGGAACTCTTTTTCACCAGAATAGGATTTGACACCCAAGTTGGATATTTCGTCTCTTGAATGAACTTGTTATCAACCAATTTTTGAACTTCTTCTTCAAGAGCCTTTTGTCGATCAGGACCGAGTTTGCGCCGTTTTTGGACCACCGGTTTAATTGTTGGATCCAAATTGAGTCGATGAGAAGCGACCTTTGGATCAATTCCTTTCATATCTTCATGTTTCCAAGCAAATACATCAGAATTGGCTTTGAGGAATTGAATGAGCCGAGTTCGCATTGGTTCTTGAAGATTGGCCCCAATTTGCACCGACTTGTGACAGACAGGATCGTCGATGAATATTACTTCAACCTCTTCTGATGGTTCAGCTCGTTCAAGTTTACTTTTCTCCTTGAATTGAATTCGAGGATCAAGTGCATCTTCTTCTTTAATTGGTTCTTTTCCAGGACGTTGTCCACGATTACAAACTAGATCATTATCTGATTTCGCTGGGTCAAGTTCCATCTCGGTATTGTATGATTCCGAGTTGATGAGTGTTGAATCTTCTTGGCTTTCCTTAATATTCTCCATCATGTGTATAGGTGTGCATGGTTCATGCCAAGGTTTGACCCATACCATTCCACGAGCTTCGTACTGATCTCCGTAATGAGTTCCTTCTCCATTGTTGGTGGGAAATTTCAGAGCATAATGAAAGATCGAGACAGCAGCACGAAGTTTATACAGAGCTGTCCTTCCAATGACGGCATTATATTGATTTTTAAGATCCATCACCTTAAATGTTTCCATAATAACTTTGGAAGCTTGTCCAGGGATTCCAAACCGAATTGGCATAGTAATTTCACCAAGAGTTGGCGTAACTGTTCCATTAAAGCCTTGTACTTAATCTTTACAGGGTCTCAACTCGGCTGGATCAATTCCCATTTGTTCGAACGTGCGTAACATCATAATACTTGAATATGCTCCGGTGTCCACTAACATACGATGTATCGGTATTCCACAAATGGGTGCCGTGATTATTAAGGGATCAGCATGAGGGTGAGCAAAGTAACTAGCATCATCCACATTGAATGTTATCGGGCAATTATTTCGAGCATTAATTTTATCTCGGAGGTCGGTAGTCAAAACAGTTTTACCTGAGTTAAAAGCCTTTCGAGCATACGCCTTCATTTGCCGCCGTGATTCAAACATTGTATTGCTACTGTTATTGACCCGAGGTACATGGTGTGAATTGTCAGGATTATAGTATCCTCCTCGACACATCGTTTCAGTAGTTATCATCGAATCTCTTTCTTTTTGATTCATCATGTATATTTCTTTATCACTTGATCTCACCCGTTTTGGATTAATTGGATGTTCCTCATCGTCGTCATCATCTGGTAAATTCGGCATTCTTCCCTTCCGTTTATAATCAACATTTTTGGCAAATCTTTGGACTTGAGGATGTCCAATAAGTCGCAACATGGCAGAAAGTAAACCAAGGCATTCATCAGTATTATGGCCTGCCGACTTATGGTATGAACAATATCTCGTTTTATCAAGTTTTTCTTCAGGAGTTCTGACAGGTCGAGGATCAGGAAGAATTCCTTTCCCTTTTAGTTCTTCAAATATAGTTGCTGCTCCTGCTGAGAATACCGTCTGGTAGCTAGATTTGACTTCATTAAGATATTTAGTTCTGGCTTCTTGCACTTCAGGCATCTTTGGATTCCCAAATCGAGACTTATTTGGTTTGAAGAATTTACTTTTCTTCTTTTTTGACTCTTGCCCGACTTCCGACTTCAGCGAGGAAAAGTCGATATTAGGAACCGACATTGATTCTTCGGCTAAAATATGCTGTTGAGCCCGAGCTAGAAAGTCTTGAAATGAAGTTGGTTTATTCTGACATATACTCCATCGGAACAACGAATTTGGCTTCAATCCGGCTATGGCTGTGACCAATAGCGTTTCAGGATGGCATTGCTCCATATTTTGTATGCGTTCGTTGAACCGAGTAATATAGTCTTTTACACTTTCATCATCTTTTTGTACAATATTTGCGATTGATTCTTTGGGAATTAAAGAAACTCGGGCCCCGATAAAATGAGAGCGAAAAGCCGTTCTCAATTGCTGCCATGTGGAAATTGAGTACCGAGATAGAGAATGATACCATTTTTGAGCTCGAGGTCCCAAAGTTAAGGAAAACATCCGACATCTGAGTGCTTCATTTGCTCCATGAAGATCCATCCAAGACGTGTACTGACCAAGATGAGCATCAGGATCGGAAGTTCCATCATATAAGCCGATTTGTGGAACTTTTACTTTGGTTGGAATAGGCTCCCTAGTCAAATGAGGGGCCAAAGGAGTTCCAACCTCTTGATATATTTCTTCTGTCATTGGGATTTGTCGTGGTGATTCTCCATGTTCATCTTGCCGAGTTTCTTACTCAGCAATTCTCTTTCTAAGTATCTCCAGCTCTTCTGATTCACGTCTTAAACGATTTCTTTCGATTAGACGACGTAACTCATTTTGCCCACGACGAGTATGGTTCTGTTCAAGAGTATGTCATAAATCAGAGGGCTGATCGTGTCGTAAGATTTCGGGCAACGACGGAGTAGGCTGTCGTGGTCGATGCCCAGAATGGCTTTCTGCAGTTGCTTCTGATCGAACTGCTTCAGGAATATGAGTTCGTACAGGAACTACTCCATGATTTTGAGTTGCAATAGCATGTTGTGATGTCTGTGTACGTGGATGAGAAGTTGCATGTGATGTAGCAGGAATTTCATTCCTTTGCGAAACTGGTGCAGGACGAGTTTGAAGATTAACCGCTGCAGTTGTTTCTATTCTTGTTCGTGCCATGAAATCAGTTAAATTTTTCAAGAACTCTGGATCTTGAAACAAGGCTGAATAATCAATTGATGTAGATGGCACGGTTGAATTTCCAGTTGTGTGAGTTGGGTGACGATTAACTCCAGCATCTAGATTACGTTCGTTTCGCCCAGAATTCGACATCCTTGTATTATATTGTATACAAGACAAACAATCGAACGAAGGTTCAAGCCACCCTTCCTCTAGCGCCAAACTGTTGTTGTCTTGAGTTAACAACTTAAAATTAAACACAGCAGGTGTAAAGAAAACTAGATAATTGTTCAATTTGATTTTATTTGTTATAATCACGAGTACAGAAGTCGGTTATTTGTTGAAAACCGAGATTATCTTGAGTTCGTGTACAATGTGTTCGAAAAAAAAGATCCTCGTACTATCATCCATTTTGCTATTTATAGTACGGTGGCTTTTGTCTTTTTCCTTGAAATGGATAAAGATGCATTTAATGTTGAGCTGCTTCACTTGAAGCGGCGGGAAACATCAATGATTGCCTTTTTGTTTCGTTGGTCCAATCAGATGCTTCTAATGATTACTTTCTGTTGGAATATTCAAACTTCGTGATAGTCGGTTGAACTGAAGTCGGTTTATTTATGTTGGCTTCAGATATCGGTTTTTTCGAAGACCTTCCGGAGTCGGTAACTATGTAGAAGTCGGTAATTAGTTTTAATTAATACCGACTTACAGTAAGTTCACCTTC